GCCCAGCTGCTCCACGGCATGTGGGATCTTCCTGGACCGGGGCACGAACCCGCGTCCCCTGCATCGGCAGGTGGACTCTCAACCACACTGCACCACGGGAAGCCCATTCATGAATTTAGTTTTAACTTGCTTTAAAAGACAACAGTTTTCCTATTATTTACTTGTGAGGAAATAATTACTGTCTAATTGGCTCTAATGAAATGTAGTGGAAAAACTACTCTTTCTAAAATATACTCCCGGGCTTCCCTGGTGGTGCAGTGGTTAGGGTCATGAATTTAGTTTTAACTTGCTTTAAAAGACAACAGTTTTCCTATTATTTACTTGTGAGGAAATAATTACTGTCTAATTGGCTCTAATGAAATGTAGTGGAAAAACTACTCTTTCTAAAATATATTCCCGGGCTTCCCTGGTGGTGCAGTGGTTAGGAATCCGCCTGCCAATGCGGGGGACACGGGTTCGAGCCCCGGTCCAGGAGGATCCCACATGCTGTGGAGCAACTAAGCCTATGTGCCACAACTACTGAGCCTGCGCTCTAGAACCTGCGAGCCACAACTACTGAAGCCCGCGCACCTAGAGCCCGTGCTCCGCAACAAGAGAAGCCACCGCAAGGAGAAGCCCGTGCACCGCAATGAAGAGTAGCCCCCGCTCGCAGCAACTAAAGAAAGCCCACGTGCAGCAACGAAGACCCAATGCAGCCAAAAATAAATAAATAAATTTTAAAAAAATAATAAATAAAATATATTCCCCTAAGACCTTCAAAGAAATGACTATAAGGGATGGCTTTTTTTCCTTTTCTTTTTCTTCAGTGATCAAAGTTGTTAAAACTACTTAGGCAAAGAAGAAAACTTTTCTCCTCTGCCTCTTCTTTGCTTTTAACCATATGGATTCCCTAAGAACCAGCAATGTAATATATTTTATGAAAGCTGGATTAAGTAGGACATTGTATACCATCATGCTGAGATACCTAATATCAAAAAAAAAATTAAAAATTGATTGTCTGCCCACCAGTCAAATTTTAATTCCAAAGAGGGTTTTTATGATTTATCCATTCACCAAATATTTATTGAACATCTACCATATGTCAGACATTGTTCTGGGCATTGAGAATTCATTTGTGAACTAAACAGACAAGAATTCTTGCTTCATAGAACTTAAATTCACTGATGCAAAAATAGTTTAAGCATATTAGTGGTACTGTGTTCCAGAGCTCTTGTTATCAATAATTCATGCTGGCCTGGTGTTTTATAATTTACAAAGTGATTTCACATACAACTATCTCATTTAATCTTCAGACATGTAATAACTATCAGGAATGTATGAATGAAACAGATGTTAAAAATAGAAGAAAGCTAACACCTGGGGAGTAGTTTGACATTTCTTGTTGTTCAGCTAATGAATGCATGAGCTCAGCCTGTGTTACCCAGAATAACTTACTCTTTCTAATAGAGTAACTCCTGAGTTAATCGGCTTTTTATCTTTAGATATATCTTTTTATCTTTATCTTTAGACTGTGTTCAGGAAGGAAGGTAGAGACCATGCAGTTTAGGCAGAACAACACTGAAGCCTCATAAGTTTCTCAAACTTGTAAGACCTTAACTAGTGCACATCTAAAATTTGAGGATTACACAGTCCTGACTGTATTGTTAAGTATCTTTTAGCATTAAGATGAATTTTGAAAAGACTGTGTGTGTCGTGTCTCAATATGCACTTGTTTTCTCACCAGGATGCACCTGCTGCTGCCCGACAGCAGTTCTACACTGACATGTACTGTCCGATCTGTTTACATCAAGCTTCCCTCCCTGTTGAAACAAACTGTGGACATCTCTTTTGTGGTAAGCAAACAATGCTGTTCTTGGTAAAAGTGACTATTTAGACCAAGACCCGTGTGTGTGCACAAGCCGGATTCCTAATTTTCTCTCTGTCACGTTTTGTATTTTGTGAGTGGGGCAGATTGCTTCTGAGATCCTGCTCTTGTTGTCAGCCACTTTTATTTAGTGTCCATGGTTCAAAGATTAAAAAGACTAGTTATTCAACCCCCCAATAAACAGAAATGTGTTTCTTTGAATAGTGAGTTAAGGATATCTGTACCATGAGGGAGTCACTGAATTCCTCATTTTCATCGCTTTCTGGTGGTTTCATTTATTACTCCTCCTTCCCAAGGCAGCAGGGTTCTTCTCCCAAGGACCTTGCCTGAGACCTTCCCTTGGCTCTGCCACCTCTTTTTCACTCTGAGTCGGCGCAGAAGTTCTTACCTCTCTTCCTCCGGGACTTCCAGAGGCTTGGGAACCCTAGAACATGTAGAGGGACAAGAAGGGACATTGATGTCGCACTAACTTAGTGTCAGGAAGGGGTGCTGTCCACCCCTGGGCATCTCCTGACCTTCCATGAAGAGTCACAGAGTGATGGGACATACCGCATAGCCACTGCTGGCTGTGGTCACGTGAGATTGGCAGGAGTCGGTTATTATGGGCCTGCTGTGTGCTGGACGCAACATACTCCATCTCATCCCAGCTCACAGGTGAGGAACCCCGAGGCTCAGCAGTGCTAAGAAATTTTACAAAGGGCAGCCGAGCTGCAGACAGACAGAGCTAGGTTTTAAACCAGGGTCTGACTTCACAGCCTGTGCGCAGTTCTGTTGGGCTGGCCAAAAAGTTTGTTCGGGGTTTCCCGTAAGATATTACTAAAAACCCAAACGAATTTTTTGGCCAACCCAATACTATGTGAATGGTGGTTTATACAACTACTCTCTCCTTAAGGTTTATCTCATCATTAGACCTATTTTTTATTGGTAGTATTTCTTTCCCTTCGAACAGCTGTATGCAAGATAGGGTGCTAATTGCTCCCAAACTGTACTGATTTAACATGTAGCATACAGTGATTTGTACTTTGCTTTCTCCCCTTTGTATCTTTTGTCTAAGAGTCAGAATTCCAAGGTATACAGTGTTAGTAAGTTCATGCTGTTGGGGGTGAAACAAAGTATCTGGAATCCATTCCATGCTATGCAGGGTTTTCTATACCTTGTGCCCATTTAGTCAGTACTGACCAATCCCATCATTGCCTCATCCATGAATTTCAGCCTCTTCCCTCAGGTTTTTGTCTAAGTAACTAACAAATTACAAAGCACTATTTCAGTGTCTATCCTTAATTATCTGTTGGAAATGCTAGTGAGCAGCCAAATAATGAAAGATCAGGTGCTGGGGTAGGGGATTAAATGGCCATCAGAGAAAGCAGACGTTCCCCCTCAAACCTCTGGCCGACATTCCTTATCGATTGTGGACTTGCTCTGGGTCTGGCTGTGCCTCAGCCGTCCCCTAGCACAGCACCCAAGGCAGGGGTTGGGAATCAGTGAGGTCTGGCAGGCTGGGTGAAGTCTATTTGCCAGCCCAGGCTTAGGTGATGCACTGTGTGGATAACCCCGTCAGTTGGAAGATGGCTGTGCTGTGCTTTTGGTTTTACCTCTGGGTCTGGGGTAATAGGGTAGATTCCTTCCGATATCCTGCTCTTCTTGTCGGGACACTTTTATTTACTGTCTGTAGCTTCAAAGGTTAAAAAAAAAAAAAAAAAAAGTTATTTAGCTTCTCAATAAAGAGAAATGTGTTTCTTTGAACAGTAGTTCAAGGATACTGATACCATGTATATGAAGAGCATTTCAGCTTAGCTCCATGTGTGGAACTACAGTTCTGTTCCTTTACAGCAAGTCAAGAATAACAGCAGCGACAGACTTTACCTAACTTGCATTTGTAACCTACATTACTTTATTTAATTCCCCGGCAGTCTCGTGAGGTCTTATTCTCATTTTACAAATAGACAGATCTAGAGAGATTGTGCCCCGGATTCAAGTCATTGAGTCATCTCTCCCTCCATCCTAGTTAAGGGAAAGCATCAGGCACATCACAGCAGATGTGTATAAACTGAAGTGTTTGATTTGCTGGACCATAGTTTTCCAGTGCAGGCAAGTGGCCGCTACATAATTTGCAAACCAAGGACACCTATACTCCAATCTGTGGAAAAAAGTTATGGAATTAAATAAATTAACATATGTCAAAACACAGTGGACTTTTGGGTAAAAAGGTAGTAGATAAATCTAAGGCATCATTACAGATGGTGATAATACTAACATATTTATGATCGGTTTTGCTTTCATATGGTTTCTGTATGAAATTAGACTGCTCAAAGTATTTAGTAAATATTATTGAATTAACACAGCACCCTGAGAGCAGGAAAAGATATCAGATACAGATGGTTTAGCTTTTTAAACTTGTCTTTAAATCATCGAACCAGTTTTTCCCCACAGTCACTACTGGTCAGGTTGGGCGGCCTTGGCTTCAGCCAGTGGCCCGCTCACCAGTGGCCTCGTGTACCATTATTTCTGCCTCTGGGATTTGTGCCTGCCATCACAAAACCCACAGTGTCCTCCCTCCTGTCTTCTGCTATCTAATCTTACCACCTCTACAAAGTTGGGTTCAAATGCTGTACACCTTTTGTACTGAAATTTAATATTACACACTTCAAGATGTAACTACCTTCTGAGTCATATGTTACCTTGGTCTCCTCAATTTGACTGAAGGAGCCAGGAAGCAGTTAGTTCAGATTCACAGTGGAACCTGGATGATCCAAGAAATGGGGGCCTGCAGAGAAGAAACTGGCTTAAACTCCTTAAACATCAGCCAGTATTTAAAAATACTCTTCCTTCATTTGTTACTGGTCTGAACTTTAGTGCCTATACACTTAGTGCACGTACCACCACTTTTTAAGGTCTGTAAATCCTCTCTCTAGGCCGTGTTTACCTGTTTCACTGCTCATCAATGCCTTCAAAAAGAAAAATCAAATCCATCCAGTACAAAAGTTGATTCAGTTACTTAACTGGATTATGAACTTTGTTAGGGCAGGAAGCGTGAAATCTTTGTATCCTTTGGCTCCTTTGCGCATACTACCTAATTACTATCATTGACACTTAAGTGACTTGGTTTTCTAAACTTTTAAAAAAATGGAAGTTGTGTTTCTGAAACATATATATCAAATTTGGAACAGAAAATTTATAGTGTGATTTGTTGGTTGTCATATGTACAGTAATGTTCAATTACTGTTTTATTTATTCACATAGGAAATGCAGTATTTTCTATTAAGCCTCATAGCATTGAAGCAGTTAATGCATGCTTGCTTTTGATTGTAAAAATGCTTGTATCTTAACGGGTAGTTTAAATTAAAATATTTTTCAGTGGCTGGGAATTGTTACTAGATTTGAATTTGCCTTAAGAGTTGGTTGGATAAAGTAAAAAACATTTTAAAATAGGTGATGCTGTTAAAATATTTCAAATATATGAAACTTTCCCAGGATATATGGACTTAAAAATATCAATATTAATGTTTTCTTCCCATTAGGTACCTGCATTGTGGCGTACTGGCGATACGGTTCATGGCTTGGGGCAATCAGTTGTCCAATCTGTAGACAAACGGTAATGTTTGTGCCCAGAAAACATCATTTATACTAGATCATTTTGTAAATTTTTATAGTTTCTGTATCTAACTCTTGAATTATTTTTATGTTTTTAGCAGAACTTCATTTATCCAAAGCTTCTCTGATGTTTCTCCATTATTTTTTTTAATGTCTTTAAGACACCTCAAAAAAAAAGAGAATTCCCTTTGATATCCCTTCAGTCATAGTGAAAAACAGCTGGTACATGAACCCTTCCCCAAATCCTAATAAGTCTTTGTTGTAACACCAGCAAGGGAACAACTGAACTGGCAATCAGACTTAAGCAAATATGCCCTGCATAGACTTCTTTTAAAAAAAATAGTTTTTCAATTGTACTTTCTTTTTAACCTGCCCATCTGTGGTGAGGGTCCAGACAGCTTTAAATGACGAACAATGCCTTTGAAAAATGTCTCTTGTGGAGCCGCGGCCACGTCACATCACCCAGAGCAGATTAGCCTGTTACATCAGTACAGATGCTGCCGCCGAGGGACGCAGTGAGGTTTTACGCACGCGTGTCGGAGACTGAAGTGTCAGTATGCTACCAAATGGCTCAATTTCTTCGACAAACTGGTGAAACAAAATTTTGTTTCGTTTGAAAAATCTGAGAAACTGATATTTGTAGTTTTTAAGTTAATAAATATAGCCAAATGGGATGTTCTATTCACTTTTCAGAATTTCCTTTATATTTATATTATTCTTTTCATTTAAAATATATGCCTGTCTGATAATGACTCATGATCAGGTACTCAGACAGCCTCTCCTTGGGAAGTCTTCAGTGCAAACAGACGTCCCGACCAGGATGGAGAGCTTCCAAGTCAGGATGCTGAACTGAGTGCACACATTTACTTTTGCTCCCTCTGGCAACCCCACCGAAACAGGAAAGGTGTAAACCCACAGGGACCACAAAGTAAAATAAGATTAGAGAAGGCACAACAGTTGTTCAAAAATTCTTTGTAAAATATAACAGACGTACAGAAAAGCACACAAAATAAAGAGGTACAGCTCGCTGACTTGTCACAAAGCAACACCTGAGTAGCCACCACTCAGATGAAGAAACAGAAACTGGCCACAGCCCCAGAAGCCTCCTCGGGACTCCTTCCAAATCCGTCCCCCTTCCTTCCTCTCCTAGAGGTAGCTACTATTTGACTGTTATGATAAGCATTTCCTTGATTTTCTTTACAGTTTTATTACCTTAGCATGCTCCTCTAAGATTACTGTTCAGTTTTGCCTAATTTGGGGACTGTATATAAAAAAAACCATATAGTGTGCACTGTTAAATACATATACACATACACAGAAATGCACACATGTGTGTGTACCTTTCAGCCACTGTTCTCGCTTATCCACTTCCCCCACTGCTGCCTTTTTTGGTTGGAGAGAGGAAGGTTCAAGGCTTTCTTTTCTTTCCTTCTTGCTTCTCTTGATACATCCCCAGATTCTGCCTCTTTCACACTTTTTACCACATGGTTAGGAGGAAGATTATTTTTTGGTACCACCTCTCCGGCTGATTTGACGTGTGACACAAGGCAGTTGGTCCTGAAGCTTATTTGCCAGTGCCACCTCTCATCTTTAGCTTTCTGCCAGCAACACAGAGACCAGGCCGAAGGTCTTGCCGTAAACAATTAGTTCCACCACCTGCCCCTCTTTCTGGCACTACCTGTGGCTTTTCATAGGGCATATGCGCATTAGCAGGTGGTATCCTTTGGACCACACATAAATTGGCTAGAGGCGAGAAAGGTGGAGATAAACTTGTGGGTTCCCTAACTGCAGTGCGTTCCCACTGCAGTTCATCTACCTGCCCCACCGCCTGCTTCACTGGGAACAGTGTGCAGGCTGCTGCCTGTGGCTGGAACATGGTGACCACATCTCCCCTGGGCGCGCACACTGACACGCCAGCGGTCCTACCACGTCCCTAGGATGAGTCCAAGTGTCAAGCTTTCTGGACACCCCAGAGAGAGGAAGTCCTTCCTCTCCAGCATCACTATAACGCCTACCCCAGCGCCTTATGACGGGCTGTTGAACGCGTCTCCCTCCCCTTCTATCCTGGGGATTGTGATCACCAAGGCGCAAGGCCACGTTGTCCTTTTTTTGTACATCTAGCACTTAGCGCAGTGCCTGGCCCATGTACGTGGTCAGTTAACATTTAGTGAAAGAATTCATCTTTATTAACAAATTTGTGAAGAGATGGCCGTACCTGCTGTTCCTACTACCTGCTGCTCTTAGGCACTCCTGTGTTTGGCTGTTTGGGAAGCACCTAAACAGTGGGGTCCTGGTTTTACAGCTCAGCTGAGGGTCAAAACAACAGCGAGATGATTTAAACCCAAATCTATCACGGCTCCTTCCCATATTTATCTCTTTGTACAGTGGCCATTTCTATAGGAGGTGTTATATTTTTAAATATACTTGTTTTTCGAGGTACCATCATCTTCAGATTACCCGAGTATAGTCCAGGAACATTTGTGTATCCTCCTTAGATCTGCCATGGAGGAATCAGGGTTAAATGTATTATGTTATATAACAGTATCAAGAATTACCTTTTTGATTGTAGTAGAGATGGGTGCTTGAGAGCTGGTTCCTGCAATAACTTCATCTCTGTGTGATGCTGGTAGCATTCAAAGATCATTCAGATACCAGAGAGGATAAGGAATCATGATTTTTTTTTTGGGGGGGGGGGTACGCGGGCCTTCTCACTGTTGTGGCCCCTCCCGTTGCGGAGCACAGGCTCCGGACGCGCAGGCTCAGCGGCCATGGCTCACGGGCCCAGCCGTTCCGCAGCATGTGGGATCTTCCCGGACCGGGGCACGAACCCGTGTTCCCTGCGTCGGCAGGCGGACTCTCAACCACTGCGCCACCAGGGAAGCCCCGGAATCATGATTTTAATCAAAAAAGAAAGCCCTAATTTTCCTCTCTCAAAGTGATATGTCACTTTGCTCCTGAATATTTTCTCATCATTCTTATATCCTCAAATGTCTGTTAGCCCAAACAGAGAACTACTAACTTGATCCCTGGTGTGGATTGGAAAGTACTTAAACCAGTGCCCATTTTATTTACAGGAGTTCAAATAACATTTTGAATGGATTTTATTGTAAGGAAACAGTAGCTTACTTTTCTCCCCTGTGTCGCCTTTGTTAAAAGAAATGAGTGAAATCTAAATTCAGAAGCTTTTCTGATTCTATTGAATAATAACACAAAATGAAAAAAAATTAATGCTGCAGAAAGGTGTAACAATTCTTTTTTCTGTAAATCTACAGGTAACTTTACTGCTAACAGTATTTGGTGAAAATGACCAGTCTCAGGATGCTGTATCATTGCATCAAGATATTAATGATTATAACCGGAGATTCTCAGGGCAGCCCAGATCTGTAAGTAATGTTGTAGCGGGTGCAAAGTTAGAGTGTGATGATACTTCTCTTTTGTAAAGTGAGATTTACCAACAAATAGTCGATGTGAAAAATCTGTGTGTGTTACGTGAAGTCTTTTCATTGTTGCTGTCATTCACTGAGTTACAGCTTTCCCAAGGACTACAGTTTTCTATCTTTTAAAAAATGGCATTATTAAACTCTTTATGAAAGTGATACCAGCAAAAACAACCAATAGAAAAAAATTGGAGGCAAAGGTAAAACTATTGACTCCTACGTGATTCTAAAATAGGGTTTGTCTTACGGGAAGCTTACAACTGAGAACTTCTGGAGGGAGTTTTACCATTGTGTTTTACTCTATTTTACCCTGGCCCCATTTGAATTTGTTCCCTTAAGTAACCCTAAGCGTTGGGGGTTTTGTATGTCAGGTATTCAAAAGCATTCTATTTTTAAAGAGCACATTAATTCTACAGTTGCCCCTCCCCAAAAAGGCATTTGATAGATTAAAAACCCACACTTTACTGACTCATCCCAGTTTTCTCAAAATTTCTCAAAATTTAACAAAGAATTCTAGAAGTGTATGACTAAATATGTACTTGAAAACCCAGAACACACTCAGTACAAATTCGTACTGGAAGCCCAGACTCTGCTCCACGCTCTAGGCTCTGACGTCCACTTGCTCAGGGTACATCCCACTGGCGCGTTCCTGGCGTCTCGGACACGAGATGTAACATGCACAACACTGACCTGATCCCTCCTTACCTCAGCCTTACTCAGCTCAGTGCTGATGTCCTCTTCTCCCTCACTCCCCTTCTCTGATCTGTAAAGAAGTCCTAACGTGTCTTTTCTCTCTTTCTGGGGATGCTGTCATTTCTGCCTCATAACAAGTCCTGTGTCTGTAGCCATCAGACTAGGCCAGGCCACCACCATCTCTTGCTTAGGACAACTGCAGTGGCCTCTTCACTCGGACCTTTTCCTCTACACAGCAGCCCGAGTAATATTTTGAAACCATAAGTAAGACCATGATGCTCTTGTGTTTTAAAACTTCTGAATTTCTGGAATAATGTCCCAACTCCTGGCTGTGGCTTTCAAGGCCCTGCATGGCCTGGTCCCCCCTCCCCTCCCTCGGGATGCGGCTCTCAGAACACGCTCCAGGCCTTCCCACCTTCATGCCTCACTCGTGCCATTTCCTCTGCTCAGAATGCTTGTCCCGCTGCTCGCCTCCTGGCTGACTTCCTCATCCTTCAGGTCGGCCCTAGTATATCTCCCTCGGAGAGGCTGTCCCCAATCAACCAGGGCAGTCTCTCTCATTGCCCTCTGACCTTGTTCATTACTGTTCTCTCAGGAGACGGAAAGCTTCATGAGGGCGAGGACCGTGTATATTTAGTCACTACTATGGTCTCAGTGTCTGGAATACAGTAGGCCTTAATGCTTGTAGAATTTATAGTTATCCTTAAGATAGAAATGATACTACTCCTCCCAGCCAAGAATATAAGCTGTTAAAATGCTTCTGTATTACACAACTGCATAGACTTGTGCTCCCTCGTACATGCTGTTCCTCATTCTGGGACATCAGGTACATTTAAAGGCATACAGTTTCGCCTGCTGTGGATGGTGATAGGCAAAACTTTTAGTGACAAGAAAAGCTTGACCTGGTCCCTGTTGCCCTCCGTGGTTCTTTGGGAGCCTCTTCTGCTGTTTCTGATCCGGCAGTTTTCTTATGTATCCTCCAGGGGCATCTTAGGACGATTCTTTGAAAATCAGTGTTTCAAATTCAAGAACTACCACTGAACTTAAAAAAATCATTTTAAGATGTTCATTCGTATTTTAAGGTGTGAAGCGTACCACTGCTCAGTTATTTTGTCTGCGTCAGATATATACTTAATGAATAAGAAAGCTTGGTATGTGATGAAATTACAATATAGTGAAGACATTTAGCTCTTACTTTGATATTCTACCCCAGAGTTAGAGTCAGATTGTGATTAGTACACAAACATTTCTTAATAACCCATTCCATATTTCTTGTCTAATCACTACAGATTTTGTATAAACAACACCATATAGAACTGAACAAAATAGCCCTGATAAAGGACAGAACAATATTCAAAAGACATACTGGCTGGTCATTAGAATATTTTAAGTAATTTACCATAGACCTTGTGAAAGCTGTATAGCTGTTTTGCTTTAACTATTAGTTTCTTCCACAGAGAACAGAAAATCAGCATGAGGAATGATTCTAAAAAGACCATTTTTGTTCTTTTGTGATCCGTTTTCCAAAAGGAGTTACAAGATTTTCTTTGTCTGGTGGGGTTTTTAAAACCGTTCTCTCATTGCTTGCTCAGTTCTTCCCATTTTCATCTCCATCTCCTCCCTCTCAACTTATTCGGCATTTGTTGGACAAAATACATACTTAGAGTTGGATTTGTGATATTTATACAGATTGTTAAAAACAGCTGAACTGTGGGCACTGGAATGACCACAGGAAGTGATTTGCTTCCTCTGGCCAGTTTCTCTTGCATCTCCCAACCCCTGAGAAGTAAGACCTCAAAGAAGTTAGGTTCAGGAGTCGTCATGGTGCCTCATTACTACACGCGGCCTTATGGTCATGCAGTCAGCTAAGAGCTATGCAGAGGAAGTGAGAAGTTTCCAGTCAGAGAAGAAACTGACTTGCTCAAGGTCATACAAATAGATACTGGTACTGTCTTTTTTTTTAAAAAAAAACTTTATTTAGATGTAATTTACACGCCATATAGTACCCCTGTTTAAAGTATACAATTCAGTGGGTTTTAGTATATTTACAAAGTAAATATAACCTAATTATTAGTCTGTATATATTCAGAAACCATAATCATTTCCAGAAAGGGTAGGGCCTGGCATTCCAAAAACTTTTGTGGCAATTAATCATTCACTTAGGGCTTCCCTGGTGGCGCAGTGGTTGAGAGTCCGCCTGCCGATGCAGGGGACACGGGTTCATGCCCCGTGTCCGGGAAGATCCCACATGCCGCAGAGCAGCTGGGCCCGTGGGCCATGGCTGCTGGGCCTGCGTGTCCGGAGCCTGTGCTCCGCAACGGAAGAGGCCACAGTGGTGAGAGGCCCGCGTACTGCAAAAAAAAAAAAAAAAAAAAAAAAAAAAAATTCTTAAAATCAAACAAAACAGAGAATAAACATCCTAAAAGCTAAGCAATAAACATCCTAAGAAGGAAATCAGTTTCATTGCTATTCTTAGATGGTCAAAGCCATCAAAGTTGATGTGTCTGTATATACTTATATATTCTATATATGTATACACTTATATATTCTATATATGTATATACTTATATATTGTCTGGCAATTTATCAAGGTCTTTTATAACAATATCTCTTCTAGTTCTTAATAGTACTTGTGGCACATACTCAATTAGTTGTTGACTTATCTCCAGTAGGTTAAACAACTTTCCCCAAGGTCACTTGGCTAATAAGTGGTCTGTCCAACTTTAAAGCTGAGACTTGAGCTCAAGCCTCAGCCTGGTTCAGTACACTGGGTTCTTTGTTGGTTTATTTTACTAACTCAAATTAGAAATAACTGAGTTTTGTATTACTATATCCTGTGTTTCAAATTTGTTGATATTTTAGTTACTTTTCAATTATCTGCAATAAGACCTATTTTATAAGAACCTAGTAATCAAAGAACTATTTTTAAATAAAATGTGTAAGTAGAAAATACGGTGTTCAGTGAATATGTGAAACTCCTTCATTCATGTTAACTGAGTTTGTCTGCACGTTGTAAGAAAATTATATTACTTTTAAGTCTAACACACTAGATACCAAATCACAGTATTTGTTCTTCCCCTACCAGATTATGGAAAGAATTATGGACCTACCCACTTTACTGAGGCATGCATTCAGGGAGGTGTTTTCGGTCGGAGGCCTTTTCTGGATGTTCCGTATCAGGATAATACTTTGCTTAATGGGGGCTTTTTTCTATCTCATATCGCCTCTAGATTTTGTGCCTGAAGCCCTGTTTGGAATTCTAGGCTTTCTCGATGATTTCTTTGTTGTCTTTTTGTTGCTCATCTACATCTCTATTATGTACCGAGAAGTAGTAACACAGAGGCTCAACAGATGAGGAAATGAGTGCACTGAAATATTTGCGCCAACGTGTAAAATCAAACAGAAGGACCATGGCAGTTTAAAGCATTTGAATATTATCTTACAAGTTTAAAACCAAACATTTGATTGTCATTTGGCAAATGCCTAGCAATATATGACTGGAATTTTTACATGTTGCAGGTTCCAACAGTAAGGTTAGAATTATAGTGATTTACAACTGTATCTTCATTCTGTGTTGTCTATAAAGTTGTGGAAAAATATGGAATTATATAAAATGGGATGCTTCTATGTCTTCTCCCCCACCAAACTATTCAGGTTAACTGGATGTATAGTAAGGTGTTGTCAAATGTACAGTTTATCCAATTCATCCTTCTCGGTGAGTACCCACATGATAATATATTGCTGTGAGACTCACCTAAGTATTTTGGTTACAATAAAATATTGTACAATATTGGGGAAAAGTCAGTGTTTCTTTGAGTAGCTAGGTTTTGTTCATTTGGAGCAGTTCTGCTTTTCCATTCTGATATAATTCTTTGCTACCAGCTGAAGGGGAAAGAAGAAACTTGAACTTTGTTAATTTGATTTTATATTCTGGTTTACTTCCTTAAGCGACAGGAGAATTAACAAGTTGTGAGACATTGGACTCCAGCCAGCACGCTTGATATTCTCAGTTACGGCATTTCAGTAGGAGTTTGGTCCTTTTATAGGAACAGTATATAAAAGTTACTTGTAAAGGGAATTTTTGTTTCAGGAACCTGGGTGATACTGCAGACACATAGCAGTTTGGTACATTCCTGAGGAAGGTGGTTCTCCGTAGCTGTGAGCATCAAGAACCTGAGGAGGGTACTAGGAACTAAATTTGACAAGAGAAATTACTGGTGAGCTATAGCGACAGAATGTACAGATTTCGTTAGTTTTCTCTTGTCAGAACACTTCTGTAATACTGTCCCTAGATGACAGAATATAGCCCAGATTCATCAGGCCTTGTACAGAATGAGATGATTCAGCAGGCACGTTATCTTGGTTTTTGGATGACTACAGCATAAGTACTTAACGCTCTTTTATGCAGTTTTCTGTTTGAGGAGAATCAAAACCGCAAGTATTACGAAATCTTAACTCCCTCAGCTGGCACTGTCCTTGAGTGACCTGGACAGCAGGGTAGTCACTGATCCCCAGGGCTCAGGCAGTGTCAGCTCTGCACCTGGCAGCCACTGCTAGTCATCCTGTCCACTCATGTATCAGTGAGCCTCACTGTCACAGTCTTCCAGGTGAATCAGAGGCCATCAACTGATGAGATGCTGAATGATACATCAGTAGTGTCTTGTAATTTGGGCCTAAGACAAAGCTGCTGCTTGTCACAGAGAAAAACAAAATCCTTAAGTATAGCACATTGTAATTAAAGCAATTTCTTGCATACCGTTCATTTAATCCTCGAGAGAGTTAGGTGAAGAAGGCAGGGCATTACCTTCCTTTTCATAGATGAAATCCCTGACGTAGATGAAAGGGTTTTTTTGGTCTGAAGCCATGCACAGATAAGTGACTGAACTGGTATTAGACTCCTAGGACTCCTACATGGGGAGAAACTGGGATCCTCTGGAAGACTTTTGGAACATACTGGAGTAGGATAGCTTGGGTTCTCCTAAGAGCAAAGGTTTAGAAAGATTACATATCAAGACTCCACGAATCCTGATTCACCATGTCCAAATCAAACTTCTCATAGGGTGGCACACTTCATAGGAAAACGTTTCAGCTGCAGTCACTAACTTGAGAAGCTAATGAGTAGGGGTTCGCTACATCACCATTTATCAGTCTCGAAACGCATTGCCTACCAATTACAAATTTGGTGTGGGGCTACAGCAAAGCCACTTTTGAAAAGATTTAATTTTCTGTGCATGTGTTCTGCTTCAAGTGTCACACTTACAGTTACAATACTTTTATTGTAATATTTGGAATTCCTTCTAAGACTTTCCTGGTAGAGGCGTATTGTACCAACTTTTGTAACATACAAAAACACTGTATGAAGTCTTACTAAGCTGAAAAGGGAATATGCTGTCTTCTCAGAAGTTTAGACCCTGTTTATTATGTCATGTTTATTGATCAGTGATAATAAATGTAGAAGGGATCCGAGAGTATTTAAAGCAAGTAGAGTCAATCAGTGTTTTAAATTTTTAAACATCGTAGTAATACTTCTGTGATTCAGAGTTAGAGCATATAAATCAAAGCAACAGTTTGGATTTTCGTGAACAACAATATTGTAACTTTCAAAAAACAGATGGTCCAGCCCCAGGAGCAGATGATAACTTGGGCAGCTCTGTGGGGAGGGAGACAGAGGAAGCAGTTGTTCTAACTGTCCACTAGAACAGTGGTTCCAGCTGCTACAGTTCTCAGCACTGAAAGTAACACGGGAAGAAAGGACTGTGCTGGTCCCTGTGGCTGTGCGGATACCTACCTCACAGAGCTGTTTCAGAGGACAGTTTGGTTCAAACCTTGTGATTTAAGAGTTTGTCAAGCAGTGACTCTTTTGAATAAAAGCAACATATCTAAAATTAAAGAGTAGCTGTTATTGTCTGGTTTCTTTGACACTGCTTTAAAATTCGGAACTCCTGAAATAGCATTCAATACAATGGTTGCAGTGGCTTTCTTTTTCACCTCATCACGTTTCTAATTAATTTTAAAATTTAAAATGTAGAAATGTTTTTGAGAAAAAATATTTAATGTGGGCAATCTATATTAATTCTGGACAATAAGGGTGAGATTGGAATCAGTACCCTTGCACCCTGATTCCCCACCCCTATTTCTTTTGAGTGTGTATTTTACTGAAACTGTATAGTTGATAACTGAAATGCTCTTTTCTGAGTCTGAGGGATAGGAAAAGGGCACTCAAGGTTTTAAGGCCCTAAGGCTTAAAGAGTCTCCCAAGACCAGGTTAGTAGGCTTTAAGGGCTGCCGACAGGAGGCGATCCTGTCACAGAGATAAAGACAATCGTTGAGCTTTTGCTGTTCAGTCAGAACCAGACCATCTTCACAGCATCAGTATTTGTTTGAAGCATCGAGTTCCTGACTGCAAGCAAACCTCAGGTGTTATCAGTCACTGTCCCCTTCACCCACTGCCTCCTCTGACTTGTCCCATGTCCAGAACGGGGCATGAGGGGAGTACACACCCGTTAGACAACACTGAGCATGTCTGAACACTGTCCTTTTTCTTCCAGACTAGTGGCCTTTTAAGGGGAATGTAGTATGTGACATAGGAGAGGGCTAAGGGCTAAGTAAAGATGTTTTAAACTTCACTGTATCTAACAGTTTAGATATTAATTTTAAAACACAAAATTTAAAAATAACTACTTAAAAATATCTAATAATTCAGACCAAAACACTCACCCTGCTAATCGGTCTTAGAGGAAACCTATAGTTAACATCTACATGGAAATTAGTCTTTGTTTCACGAATCCTAGAATGTTAACAGCTGTAAGGGACATTAGAAACTGACTAGTTTTTGTGTTTTCTCTGTGAAAATCAGATAAAACCTATGGATAGCTCCCCCAGAAAAATGCATATATACACATATGTATAGTTTTGATTCATTTTCAGGGGATTCAAAGAGCTGACCATTCATGGATTCCAAATTAGGAATTCCTCAGTCATACAGCCTAACTCTACAGATGAAGATAATGAGGCCCAGAGAGAATGAATGTGAGAGTATTTTAAAATAAAAACTGTTTATAGAAAAAGAAGCATAGTTGGATAGAAACTAATATCTAAACTGTTAGAGATCAGTGAGTTTAAGGCACCTTTAGGCCTTAGCCTTCTCCAACATCAAAACAAGTGGTGTATTTTTCTTCAGTTTATCAAGCAAGAAGACAAAGTGTACCCTTCTAGAAAAACTGAGACAAAACCTACCCTTTTAAGGTCAAGGGTTAAATTTTCCTCTTTCCC